AGAAAAGTCCAAAATAGTTACTAGAATTTGCAATTATCTTTCATTGTCCTCAGAACACCCCTGCTCCCTGATGCTAGTCTATTTTGGTACTTCCAGTTCCGCTTAGAGGGACTGTTTGCTGCAAGATCTTTGGCAGGCCAGGTGACCACTCTGTGCCTCAGCTGTCGATCGGGAAATGGGGAGTGACACGGGGTGAGCTCAGGATCCCTAGCAACGCTACCTTGCCATGTTTCAGTGACCTCACCAGGCCTTAATGTTCCGAGGAGTATTTTTCAGTGCATTGTTGGAAATTGTCGAGTCACACTTGAATGGCAATTATAAGATGAGGCTGGAATATAATGATACCTCCTGAAAAAAGATTGGACTGAGGAATGTGGATGAGGAATGCAATGAAGTGTGGGATGGGAAAGTGTATTCCGAGTGAGGACATGACATATCCTTTGCTAACAGACAACATTAGGCAAATTCCCGATGCTTGATGAATGGCCAGCCGCAATCGGAAATAGGACTCTTCCCAGAAAGGTTGCCTATCATATTTTTGGCAGAAGCCTCAGAGTAGTGAGTGTGATGCTTTGCACAGGCCCTGGGGTGAGTCAGCACTGACTTGGGTGCTGACGAGCATAGGAGCAGAGATTGACGACGTGAATGCTTGGACCTGCTAGGCTCATAACCACGAGGACACATTCCAGAAGGCTTGCTTTATTTATTTTTTAATATTTTATTTATTTATTCATGAGAGACACAGAGATAGAGAGACAGCGACACAGGCAGAGGGAGAAGCAGGCTCCCTGCGGGGAGCCCACGTGGGACTCGATCCTGGGTCTTCAGGATCACCTCTTGGGCTGAAGGTGGCGCTAAACCGCTGAGCCACCCGGGCTGCCCAGAAGCAACCATTTTTAACCAATTCTAGTTTTAGGTCTTCCATGCCACAGAACTAGTCCATAAGTGTGTGCCTGTGTTTCTGGCTCTATCAACTTCAAATAATATATACCTGTTTCCTATGAAGAAAGGTGTGTGCATTTAATACACTTTATACTCTGAACTCACCTGCATTTCACCTTCCAGTTTTTGTTAGTTACATTGGCATTTTGAGATCTTGAATGGTTACACGCATCGCTGTCAGTGATCTGCCTCAGTCCTTGCTTCTGGATTCATCACTTTCTGGCATCATCATCCCATCAAATGGGGAAAGTAGTTGTCCAAGGGCTAATCTCTGGCTCACTCTTTCCTCTTCCTGACATGTCAGCTGATTAATATCATCATCCAGGCTTGAACCTCTATACTGTTCTGTCATTTTAAGTTAGTTTTCTGTACTTCATCTATAGCTCGACTTTAAAAATGGAAAGCCACTGAGAGACATTCATTATATCAAGATTATATAAATACTAATTGCAGAATCAATTAGTATATGAGGCTTATAAAGATAGAAATGCTTCGTTAGGGCTCCTTGGTGGCTCAGTGGTTGAGCATCTGCCTTTGGCTCAGGGTGTGATCCCAGTGTCTTGGGATCAAGTCCCTCATCGGGCTTCCTGCAGGGAGCCTGCTTCTCCCTCTGCCTACGTCTCTGTCTCTCTCTGTGCGTCTCTCATGAATAAATAAATTTAAAATTAAAAAAGAAATGCGACTTTATGTCACCAAAAATATCCATCCAAAAACTAATGGAAAAATGGATTCCCTTTATTTAGACCCTTTCTCTTTTTCCAAGTCATGTCACATTTCAGTTCACTTCATCCTATGATCACTTCTGAACAGTTTTTGTTCCTTTTATTCTAATGGAGTGAATAGACATGTGGACCTTTCTAAGATCTACGATCATCCAGATTGTTACACACCTTTTCAGTCAGTGTTCGTTAATCACCACCTCCTGCCTACTGTATCCTACTTTGGGCCAACTGCTTTCTAGGCCTGTTTTACTGCTACTAATTTGAAATTTCTTTTCATTTTGTGCCTCAGCAGTTCTGCTGTTTGTTGGATTCGTTTTTCCTTCTCCTGAAATACATCCCAGGTCACACAGGGAAGAGTAAACAGGAGAAACTTCCTGAGTCATTAGCTTATTTTGCCTGGATTCTGGAGTACCATACTAGCTGGCAATAAAATTAAGGTTCAAAATAATGTTTCCTGAGAACTTGGAAATCTTGCTCCACTATCTTGTATGATGACAACCTCACGCTTGTATTTGTGGGTGCTGGGGGTTTGTGAGGGGACTGTTCTTGCAGGTGTCCTGGTCATTTTCTCCGCAAGCTTTATGCTAGGGATTTTTTAATTTCGGCAGAATAGTTCCTGGCTCATGCTGAGTGGGTTTTTTTTTTTTTTTTTTTTTTTTTATCGGAAAGGTATTTTTTAGTTCAGGGGTACTCCTTTGTATAGTTTATTTGCTTTTCTACCCCTGTACTCTCAGCTCAGGTGAATTACATCTTATCAGCTTTCTGGATCTGTCTTCCGTCTCAAATTCTCACTTATATTTTCCCTTTCTGTCATTCTCTGCATCCTGAGCTATTTTCTCAACTATAGCTTCCAGATTAGTGTGTTAGCTGTCGGCCAAACCAATGATTCCATTCTATGGACGTTTCATTGTGGGGGGTGGGGACACGGTTTAATCTTCAAGGCCGGTGTCCTGTCCCTCGCTCGCTGCTTCTGCACAGCAGCCTGGGGCTGCGCACTCGAATCTCCGAGCCGGATTCGATGTTTGATTCCTTCTTCTTTATCTGTTTCTCCCACGCCGAGCTGCTCTTTCACACATCTTAGTATTTCTCTTTTACCAAATGTTCCATGATCCGTGGTCGATCAGTAACAATGGTGAATAAAACGCCTACGGGCTGATTATCTATCATACGTGGCCGGCAAAGTTCGTCTCCGTGGGTCGGAAGAACCCGTCCGCGCAGGGGCCGGCACTGAGCGCGCCCGGCCTCGGCCTCTGCGCGCGGCCTGGGGCGGCTGCGGCTCGCGCTGCGCTGCGTGGACGGCCCCGCGCCCACACTCGCAGCCTCCGCCTGCTCTGACCGCCGGCCAGGGTCCCGAGTCCGCCCGGGCTCGCCAACGACCACGCGGGACGCCTGCCCCAGGAGGACCTCCTGGATGTTGGAGCCCCTCGTCTGTGCCCGGGGGGGCAAGGGCAGGAGGCAGCGGCTCCCGACTCCCAGGAGGGCGGGGAGGAGGCATCTGAGCGGCAGCTCGGACCAGTGTCCTCTGCCTAATTCCTTGACACTCCAAGGACAATCAGGCCTCACCCAGACCTACTGGATCTCAACCTGCACGTGTACCAGAGACCCCAGTGGCTGGGAAGCCGAGCTAAGCGAGCTCAGAAGCTCGGCAACGCCAGGCACTGACTCCTGCCGCGTCCACCCGCCACCTCTGAGGGCGCCTCTGCTGCAGGAGGGGCTCTGCAGGGTCTCCGCTGCTTCTGTGCAGCTCCAGGCTGCCCTTCACCATGATCCACTTTCCCTTTTTGGTATGTACTTCCTCCGTGTGAAACAGTATAGCAAACACCCAAGCACCCATCACCCAGCTCAGCAATAAAACTCAACAGATGGTGATTGAAACCCCTGGGTCCACCATGAGTGTTTCCATCATGAGTCCTGAGCCCCACAGGGCAGGGGGCACGGCAGCCCTGCAGCCACAGAGGCGTTGCCCTGCTGGGACTCTGGCCCGCTCCCACACAGACCCCCAGAGCACCCTTAATGGACCTGAGGCCTGAGATAGCGTGGGATGCCCTCGGAGCGGGAGGTCGGGGAACTAAACTCACCCACTTGCATAGACTAGAACAGATGAAGAAAGGCCCAGTGGGGTGCTAAGATGTCATAGCTGAGACTATAGGCCATGGTTGGGGTAACAGAGAAGAGCATCTGGTCAAATATGCGTTAATGAGATGGCCTCGGGAGTCGGGGAGAAGCTTCGAAAGATCTGAAGAGACACAGACGAGGGAAATGGCATCCAGAATGTCTGTTAGCAGGAAGCAGTGTCCTCCGCAAGACAGGATCCAGAGCCCAGACAAGAAGTGACAGGAGCAGGGCAAGAGAACAGTCTTGCAGGCAGGAATCCAGCATGGTGGGAGGTGGGTATTGAGGCATACGGGGCAAAGACATTCAGCCGCCAGAATCTGGAATCAAGACGCTACACCAAGTCCAAGAACAAAGATGCGGGTTCTTAAGAGACCAGGAGCTGCTGAAATTCCTCCTACTGACTCTTGGAATTGATCCTAGACTTAACTAATGAAGACTCTAAGGGCCTGAGCTGGAGAAAAAGGCAGGTGAGAGAAGAAGAGGGGAGGGAAGGGGAGGGAGAAACTAGGAACCAGATGTGATCCGACACCATCACCTGACCTCAAAAGGGCACAAACATTCTTCAGCGTTTGTGACAAGCCAACATATCCAAAAACCTACACAAAACTGTGAAGACTATTCTGTCCTCCCGCCCCAACCCAAACCCCATCCATTTACACCACACAACGAATAATGAAGAAGACCTTGTTCCATTCCTGGAAATTGTTTTGAGCACCTTGTGTGTACCAGGTGCTGTACTGTGAATGGGGACTTCAGGGGCGAGTAGCACCTGCCTGGGCCTTCAGGCAGTTCCTGTCCAGCTGGGCAGTCAGATATGCAAACAGAGGGTTTCAGTTGGTGTAGGAAGTGTTGTGCCTGAGGAGTTCCTGGGTCTCACGACTGCATGGGGCGGGGGAGAGGGGGAGAGGGAGGGAGACATAGAGAGCAGACCCAACACAATGTGTTCCATGAACCATGTGTGTGGCTGCTTCTGGAGCAAAACCCAAGGCAAGTGTGAGGTGGTCAGAGATCATGGCTGTGGAGACTGAGAGCCAGCTCTGGGTTCAAATCCTTCCTCTGCCCCATACCATTCATGTGACCATGATCATTCTACTTTAATCTCTGTAAATCTCAGTTTTCTCCTCTCATCATTAGGGGATCCAGAAAAAGCCATTAGAAATACCTTGATTACTTTGTATAAAGTCCATACCCTAAGAGGATGAAGATAAAGAGGAATAAAGGATAATTCAAGAAGATATATGCTATATTCAGCCCCTAAACTTAACATTTATTCTTTTAGGATTTATAGGTTGTCTCATGAGATACAGACACGAAGAATTGGCATTGATTAGACTCCATAGTAGAAATGGATCAAACTATTTCCTCTTCTTGCTTCAATTTCCCTCCAAAAGTAGTCATTATTTTATTTTTCTTTGTTCTTGTTTAGATATATTTAGTGGGAGCTACCATATATGTCTGCTCTGACAAATTCCATGTTATGTTTATCATCATTTACATATATATGTATATGTGCATATGTATATATACTTAAACATGAAAAAAATTATCTGTAAATTTCCAAGAATTCAGTCAAAACGATGAAAACAAAAAGTGAAGACACAACAGACAAGGAGCCTGACAATTACTTGGCTTCCTTTCTGTGCCTCCCTGTTCCAGAAGTCTTCTCTTCTTTGATCCACAGTGAACATAGCCTCTCTTTGACAGCAAATTAAAGTACTAATTACTGAGGAGAAGGTAGAGAAAACCTGCTGTGCCAAGTTGTGGCTGGAATTCATGCTGGTATATCTGCTCACTGCACTGGATGACTGAGTCTTCAGCCAAGCATTGACCATAACAGCTTCTCTACTGGCCAAGATCAGTGTTTAATGGTGATGGTTTTGACTTCAGTGAAAAATTCATAAGAGTCCTTGCCTCCTTCTCTACCTACCCCAGAGCTCTTCATCCCCCCAAAAGGGAGGTTCAGCTCTCTGATGAGCCAGCAGTTGGTCCAGACCAAGCCTGACTGCAACTTCTTAGCTACCCTGTGAACACGCCCCACGTTGCATGACCACACTGTCGCTGCCAGCCCATATTTAACGCTGTTGGCTCTTTGAATCACTTCCTCTTCACTATCAAAGGGGACAACACATGTCACTGGACCAAATATCTCTTCCTTCATGCAGCAAGATTCATCCTTAATGTGTGTTATCACTGTGGGAAGCATAAAGTATCCTCCTTGATTCTTGGCGGGGAGACTCAATGTATCCACCCCCTCACCACACAGAATTCGGGCCCCTTCCGAACGGGCTTTCTTGATGTAACTTCTGACCTGGGTGGGGGAAAAACCCTGATTAGCAACATTTAACCATTTGAATTGACACAAAGCAGCAGAAAATACAGTATTTTTGAATCATCTAGGAAAGGTCATTGCTGAGAAATATAAAGTTGATTATCTTATTGCTCAGCTGCTAACCCTGAGGACTGACCATCATTTGGGCATTCAGCCTTCAAACGTAAGAAGAGGGGACTAATTTATTTACTGTCTAAGTCCCAGACATGTACATAAATGCTTTTCATACATTCTCATTTAAGTCTCTCAAAACTCTATTACTTATGTGTTATTATCTCTTATTTACTGATGATAAAATTGAGCCTCAGAAAGGATAGATGGTTCATACAACTAATAAACAGGAAAGCTAGAATTCACACTCAGGTTTATTCAGTCATTAAATACACAAAAGAACAGTTACTCACTTGGGGTAAGAGGGAGCTTTGTCCATTGCAGAATATGGGAAGTTGAATGATGTATAGATTTTATGAAAAACCAAGATGCTCTTCAAAAGTTAGGCTTCCAGAACAAATAATCTCTAACTTCTGGTCTCATTTTTGATTATATTCTGAAAATACATCTAGGTAATATAGTATAGCTGACTATAATGGGAAATAAACTATGTAATAAGTAAACCCGGTGACTTGAAGACAATGGCAGATATTAATTAACAATGGTTGTAGGCAGCCCGGGTGGCTCAGCGGTTTAGCGCCACCTTTGGCCCAGGGCGTGATCCTGGAGACCTGGGATCAAGTCCCACATGGGGCTCCCTGCATGGAGCCTGCTTCTCTCTCTGCCTGTGTCTCTGCCTCTCTCTCTCCGTGTGTCTCTCATAAATAAATAAAATCTTTAAAAAAAAATGAAACATTCAGCTATGTTTATCTTTAAAAAAACACAATGGTTGTAGAAATGACTAATTATAAAATAATATGTAATGTTTACATACCGAAATTTCATTGCAGTCACAATGATACATTATCCTATCCCCGAGGGGTATTATAAACATGGGAAAAGTAGAAAAGTAATCCCCCAAATTAAAAGTATAGGACAACAGTTAAGCAGTACACCAAAGGCAGGGTAAACTTTTGAAGTCATACTTTGGATTCCTACTTATCACATATTTATCTGAGCATCCTGCTCCAGTGTTAGATTATTACTCTATTGTACAACTATATTCAGTGTAGAGCTATGTGTTTGCCATGTAAAAATTAAAAAGTAATGTTGTTTTATTATTAATTTTGCTCTAGTTTATAGAAGTTAATAAGCCATGAAGTCAAAGACTTTTAAAAAATAGAATACTTGGAACAGCTCTGTATTCCTCTCTGCTACCCATTTCCCCCCAACACACGCAATGACCTCAAACGTCTCCCAGAAAAGCCGTAGTTTAGTTTGTGGGTAGAGATGAAATTAGGTCTGGACTTCTCTTTCCCCAATTCTCTTGATCCTCTTGAAACAACCCACTCATATTAATTAAAAGAGAGATGCCAAAGGCAGCATAATGCGTAAACAGGGGAAGTCGAGGCAAAGACTCCAGGGGCACCTGCTGCACAGAGGACCAGAACTTATTTCCATGATTCAAACATGGAGCAGCTTTAGATCATCTCATCTACATAGAATTTCATAATCCTCTCTTAGAGGCTCTTGGATAATAAAATATGGAGGAAAGTATTAGTTTTCAAATTGTGAACTTTTCAAAATTTTTCATATATAAGATGATTCACACTAAAATTTATTTCCTGGAGAAAGTATCACTGGATGATAGAATGATATCTACACTAGTGGCTCAAGAACTGAGATTTTCAGGAAAATCTAAACAAAGAAAATGTTGTGACTGGTAATATGCCATAAAATGTCATAAATTATTATTATAAAACTTTTTTTTTGAGAGCATAAAGGAGTTAGCACTTGGTAGCTTTGCACATAAAATCAGAGGATGGAGTTCAGATGGATGGGCTGGGGAGTGCAAGTGTTCAAATCCCAGGGCCTCTTCTTTCCTGTTGAAGATTTTTAAATGCTCAGTTTCCCCTCTGAAAAATGGTATTAACGTCCCCACCTATTCATAAGATTAGATAAAATTTATGTAAAATATTTAGCATAATGCCTGGAATGCAGTAAGTCTTCTGAATGCCTGTCACTACTGGTGCTATTGGTGAAGGAGGTAATGGTATAATAAACCATAGATCTGATGCTTCCCAGCTAGGAGACTGCTCCTACCCTACACATCAAGGTTTTTTTTAAACTGACAAAAGAAGACAGCAAACTGCAAAAGTGAACCTTTGTTAGGCCTGAGGCCTGGCCCTATTGGGGAATGCACCTGTGAATTTCCCCATTGCTTCCGCCAGCCTCACTGTCCACACTCAAGATTTCCATCTCCAATTACCTGTGTCTTTGGGCAGGCTGGCATATAGCCAGATTCTCCAGACAGCAAGTGGAAAAAAAATGTGAGAGGGTAAAAATAAAAACAAGAATAAAACCAAAAAACAACCCTGTGAAACAGGGAGAGAGCCTTTTCTTCACTCCTTGAGGACAGTCGCCTACATCACTGGGAGGCAGACAAGTCACACATCCACTTAGGAGCATGCTGCATGTCCATGAGTTTCTGAGCGCTTTGCCATTACAGAACAGCTTCTACATATTCCAATTGGATTCTTCTGTTACTGCATCACTATCTATTGTGACAACCACACAGAAGTAAGATGGACACAGAGTAAGTAAGAAGTAGGATGGACTCTACAGGGCTAATTTGATTCAGAGAAGACATAGACAAATGGCAGAAGAGAAGTGGAATACAAAGATGGCAGCCAGACCCCCCTTGGTTCGCACCCCCAAAACTTTCTGTTTTAGGCAAGGAAAGATGACCACCAGTGGACCCTGTCCACTCCTTTGATCCCAGAGGGTTTGGCATACCAAACTGAAAAGAATTCCACTGAAAAGGCCACATTTGCACTTCCCTTGCTGCTTCCATTAGCTCTCTCTCAAGGGCAGAGACACCCCAGGCCTTCTCACAAGCATTGATCTGAAAGGCCCCCATTGTGGGTCCACCTGATGGGAGATGTTGCTGGGGGGAGCCGTGACTCCTTACATCTAGGCACACATGCTCAGGATGGAGCAATGAGGATGGCAGATGTTGAGGAACCCTTTGAACCTCAGCAGGATTACCCTGTGGCTTCACACAAGAGAGGAAACGGAAGTCTGCCTGAGAGGTACTCTATTCTATTCTAGGTAGGAGGGGTCCATATGTAGAACCAAAAACAAGAGAGCTCCATACATCACAGCAGATGTATCTGTGGTGAAGAAATGGGAATACCATTGTTAGTGCTCTTCCCTAGAAAACTAAAAATAAAATAAATTGGCCAATGATAGAAAACTATTTCTAAATGTTTAACTGTGTGTACAAAATCTTTCTTCTTAAAAGCAGTAGAGCCATGGAGCTTTCTGAGATGAGTGCAGAGTAATTAATTGTAATTTATTTTAATAAGGAAGTGGCTGAAAAGATTATTTTCTATAAGGATCAAGTAGAAAGTCACGAGAAGTTGATTGAAAAGTCTACAGTTTGGTTCATAGTAATGTGCTAATGTGGGTTTCTTACTGTGGACAATTGTATTGTGGACATGGAAGATGTTAACAAAAGGGAAAGCTGCATGAGTGGATATAGAAACTCTCTGCCTTTTCTTTGAGATTTTTCTATTCATCTTAAGTTATTCCAAAATAGAAATTTTATTTCTTTTCTTAGTTATTTGACTGAGATAGAAAACATATGATGGTAAAAATATATGGGAGTTTTAAAAACTTCTGTTTGGAAGATAAATATGGGCTTATGTTTGAATGTGGTCAGAAAAAAACTAGTAACTGTAAGCTTCATCCATTTCAGAATTATTCACGGCACCTAAGTATACTACACTGAAATGATATAGTAAGAAAACAAAGTCCAACCAATGTGTTAAATAAATGCTTGTCCTTCCAGCAAAATGTAGTTTCATAGAAGATGGCAGTTCTGGACTAAGATATGTGAGGGGGAGGTTGACACCAGGCCTAAAACTTCATCAATGATTCAACTCTTAAAAAAAAAAAGAAAGAAATATCATTTGTGTTTTAGATCTATTAGGATTCTTGGCTTTTGTCCACAGCTTCTGTGGCTACAATGCTAGAAATGTGAGAATCCCTCCCGATGTCCTACAGGACTGTTTCACACCCTCCCCTCCCTTCTGAACCCTCAGCATCTTCTCCCCTCCTCACCCTGCTTCCTAGTTCACTGAGAAAACAGAAGGAATAAGAAGAAACCATCAAGCTACTACTCCCACCGCTAAGAGCATCTATGTTCCACAATGTTGTAAAGGTCAAAGTTAAAATGTGCTAATCTGCTAAATGTGTGCAGTATCAATGATGTCTAGAGACTTTAGTCAAGGCTCTGTCCCTCACTGGCTGACTGGCAGGAGCATATTTTCCTTGGTGGTCTCAGTTACCACAGCTGAAGACAAGGTCCTCCAGCTCCAAAATCCTATGACTTATTTTGAGAGTCACATCAGGTGATATATTAAAATGACCTTAAAGACCTAATTTCCATAAATCACCCAGAGACCATCAACAACTTCTCCCATGTAGACTATCACTAGCCCCACCCACCTAAGGACCACATAATATAGATTATGCATCCTGGCATGTCCAGAATTCTAACTTCTGTAAGCCACGGGCAGAACCCTTTCCACTGGGAACCTTTATCTATGGAAATTCCTGCCACCTTGAGTTCACATCATTCTTATTAGCTGATCCTTATGTTTTGAAATTTATCTTCCTCACTCTCAATGGCATCTCCATGCTGACTTCTCAAATTCATTCATTCCATGTAGATGCTGTTTTAACCTGAACTACATTTGTGTATTCATATCGAACATTTGTAGACTCTGTATCCAGAGACCTATAGGTCAGAATTTTTTTAAGAATAGGGTCGTAATTCTTACAACCCAGAAACTGCACTACTGGGTATTTACCCCAAAGATACAGATGGCAGTGAAACGCCAGGACACCTGCACCCCAATGTTCATATCAGCAATATCCACAATAGCCAAACTGTGGAAGGAGCCTCGATGTCCTTCAACAGATGAATGGATAAAAAAGATGTGGTCTATATATACAATGGAATATTACTCAGTCATCAGAAAGGATGAATACCCACCATTTGCTTCAAGGTGGATGGAACTGAAGGGTATTATGCTGAGTGACGTAAGTCAATTGGAGAAGGACAAACATCATATGGTTTTGCTCATACGGGGAATATAAAAAATAGTGAAAGGGATTATAAGGAAAGAAGGGGAACTGAGTGGGAAAAATTAGAGAGGGAGACAACCATGAGAGACTCCTAACTCTGGGAAAGGAAAACAGGTTGCAGAAGGGGGGATGGGTGGGGGGATGGGGTGACTGGGTGATGGGCACTGAGAAGGGCACTTGATGCGATGAGCACTGGGTGTCATACTATATGTTGGCCAATCAAACTTCAATTAAAAAAAATAGGGTCATAATTAACAACATTTCAAAGCACAGAGTATGCTATGTTCTGCACTGAGCCTCTCCCCAGACTTCTATTGCAGAGATTTACTTACTTTCTCCAAATGAGCTTTACTTATCAGAGCTCCCATGCTGGCCAGTGGATCGGAGGGAATGCCAACTTTCCACCTTCTGGTAGCTTCTACAAACTTCTCCAAAAATTCCCTATAGATGCTCCTCTGAACAAAGATTCTGCTGGTACAGAGGCAGATTTCACCCTGCCAAACAAGAATGATACATGAGGACAATGACGAGACACAGTCCCTCATGGATAGGTCACTCTGCATTTCTGAGCACCTGCCAGTTACCAAGCTCCTGGCTAGGCAATGGGAGACACAGATAAACAAGACAAAGTCCCACCACAAGGAACACATAGTCCTGTGGGGAAGTCAGGCAATAGCATAAGTACATGAGCTCAATCGATAATATAATTTCAGGTCATGACCAAAGCAATAGAAGAAAAATGAAGCAGAGGATGAGAATAGATATCAATGGAAAAGTGCCACTTTTACTCCTTTTTAGTAAAAGGAGTCCTGGAAGGCTCTTGTGAAGAGGGGGTATTTGAATTGACACTCGATTGACGTGAAGGAGCTAGTTGGGCTAGACGTGGAGGAAGGCAGTTCTCAGCAGGCGGGGTAGAGGGGCTGCTTGCTGCAGGGGTGAGCCTGCAGTGGTGCAGTGTATGAGGCAAGGCAGGAGGCAAGCAGGGCTGAGGCCAGGAGTGGAGGCAGGAATGGTGGTAGGCAGTGTAGGAAATGAGGGCCGGGGGTGAGGAGCAAGGCAGTCCATGCCGAGTCCCAGAGGCTCACAAGGAGTTTGCATCTTGCTCCCAGTATCATGAAAAGACCACGGAAGGCTTCAAGCAGCTGGATGATAGGATGGGGTTTACATTGTTAAATGATCGCTCTGGCAGCTGTGTAGAGAGTAGAAAGGAGAGGAACAAGAGTGGGATCAGAGTAAAGAGAGTATTCCAGAAGTCCAGATAAGTGGAGGTAGCTTGGACCAGGGTGGGAACAACAGAGATGAACAACATGATAGGCATCTACTGACATCACCAGATTCGTAAAGGAACGTGTGACCCTAAGGTGCAAGAGAACTGGTATTGATGCTCTGTTAAAATTTGAGTTCCAGGATATATTTTAATAATTGAGCCAACAGGAGTGATTGATGGATTAGTGAGATATAAGGAAAAGGGAAGGTAAGAACAAGGGTGAGTCCCAAGTTTTTGATGGAGCCTCAGAGCAGGTGGCAGCCTTCTTCCCCAGAAAGGCAAGGCCAAGGCAGGGAGAGGAAAGGTATTGTACAGAAAGGAAAGGGAGAGAAATCAAGAGTTCTGCTTTGCACAGGTCAAGATTCAGATGCCTAATAGAGATATTGGATGTTCTGGGCAGAGGTGCTAACAGGTGCCTGAGTGAAAAATGATCTTCACTATCATTTGAATATAGCATGCCATCATTTACAAACCACAGTCTAGACATCTCAGAGCATTATGTATGTATGATAAGTATCTATCTGCATAAATAATATTTTTACCACATGAATATTTGATCTCCACAATAATCCTAAGGATAGAATATTTCTAATTATTTTGATAGTTGTGCAAAGGTGTATTGTCCAAATTAAATAGTCACTGTTCTGAAACAAAGAATTCTCTCTGCAACCAGGATCACCATTAGAATCATCAGCATATCTGGCTTGGGAAATCTGCAAACACAAGTGCCCTCTGCCATGTGGGGAGGGAGGGTGTGGTAAAGAGAGTTGAGGGGTTAACCAATCAGGGTTTTCCCGATTACTTAGTGCCAGGAAAACATAGGTAATACTAGGATCTCTAGTGGCATGACTTTAGAGGAAATGAGAAAAGGGAAATGTTGTTATTGAGTGCCTATTGTGTGCCAGGCACCATGAATTATTATGAGTTATCTTACAATATTATCTTATAACTCATAATAATTCTGTGGTGTATTACTTTTCCCAGTTTACAGTTAGAAAATGGAGCTTTGAATAAACATAAGCCCGAGGCCACCAGGCGTGAGAAGTTTCAACTTCAGTCTGAGTGATGTTGAAGTCCACATTCATTTCCTCTGTGTCGCTCAGCGTGTCTAAGTCTGTGTGTGCCCTGAGCCAAAGGAGACCACGCACGATAGAGATGTTTCAAAAGAGCCCGTTATATTCAACTGAGGAAGAAGAACTCACCATGTGGGACTCATCTCTGCATTAAGGAAAAAGAAAACAGCCCCTCTGTTTTGCCTAAAATCTGTGATCTTGAATTAGGCAGTAGGGCTCCACTGACATTTAAAATACCCCTCAAGAGGAAGGCTCTCAGCAATGTCGTGTTCTTGCACAATTCTGGCAGCCAAGAAGCTACAATCCATTTTGGCAATCAGAGTGCGTTTACTTTCATGCAGTTTTCATGTAATGCCCTCTCAGCTGTTTCTCAGTCCACAGCTTGTCCCTCCCCTTGTTATCACTAAGTCACCAAAATGCTTGGTTTAATTGTTTGTTTTGATACTTGTTTATTTTATTTTTTAAAGATTTTATTTATTTATTTGAGAGAGAGTACAAGCAGGGGAGGGGAGATGGGCAGAGGGAGAGGGAGAAGCAGGCTCCTCACTGAGCGGAGATCCCGAGGGACTCTGGGATCATGACCTGAGCCAAAGGCAGATGCTTAACTGACTGAGACACCTAGGAACCACAGATACTTGTTTATTTTAATGATTAAAATAGCTGTATCATAGAATTGCAAGTCTATTTTCTAAAATACAGAATGTAAGTCTATTGATCCAGAAGTATATAGAGGTATATAGAGAGATACAGAATGAAGCCACTTTCTCTAAGAATTACTGTGAGAGAAATAATTACAATTATAACGATCACGAAAATAACCACTGTCAAGAACGGTGTTCATTCTACACTCACAAAATTGCTACTGGAAGGCATCATTATCGCTTCCATGATTTTATAGGTAAAGAAATGAAAGTTCAAAAGGTTACAACAACTTAAGCAAGTTAAATAAAAATATCTCATTTCACTTATCTTTCTTTCTATAGCAATTCTAGCTCTTTAGTTAATTCTTTGTTCACTGCTAAAATTTTTAAAGAGCAGATCCTTTGGAGAAAATCATTCAGTGTTTGTGCACTCCTGCTCTACCCTAGGCCTAGTCCTGGTGTTGAAGGTCAAATGTGGCCCCAAAGCAGACACAGAGGGCCTCTTTGTGATGCTTACAGTCTGGTCTATCTGGGTCAGCATTCCTAAGCCTTTGGATGCCATGGCCTCCAAGAATCTGCTGAGTACTGTGGCCTCCAAAAAAATATCTACTACACAGTTTGAGGAGATGCAAAGTTGCCCATGACTCCAACATAAGAAACATGCCCTAGACTGGTTCAGGCATTTATTTCTAAGTGTGTGCTGCATTTGGGATGCTCCTGGGGGAACACAAGATTTATTGGAGATAAAACATTTAGACAGCAAGAAGAGAATGGGGGTAACTCTATGTGTAAAGGGATGAAAAAGCTTGGAGAAGCAAAAATTCAATCATTTTGCCCATGGCTGGTACCTGATAAAAGCTGTGTAACTCAAGAAGAGGAGCTTGCTGAACAGGAGCTGTGATTCTACAAGACCACAGATTGGCACTGAGATAAAACAGATAGTCAACAGAATAACACAACTTAATAATCTCCTTTCACTGAAATAGCACCTACTATTGACTACTAGTTGACCTACTAACTCCTGGCTTTGCACTGTGATGAAACAGATCCAGTCTGACAGGGTCACAGAGTTTAAAAATAAACTAAAAACAAAACAAGCAAACCCAAAGGACACACCTGGTTGGCAAAGCTGGACTTGACAGTCGTCGGAATACACTCCTCCAGGTTGGCGTCATCAAAGATGATGGCAGGGTTCTTGCCCCCCAGCTCCAGGGAGAGCTTCTTGCAGTGAGGAGCACTCAGATGTATGATCCGCTCAGCTGTGGGCTGACTCCCCGTGAAGGAAATGAGGGGTACCTCTGGATGGGCCACCAGGGCCTCGCCTACCCTGGGCCCCGTTCCAAACACAATATTCACCACACCTGGTGGAACACCTGGCCAGGAAACAGAACAGTATCCAGGTCTGTATCTGGTTAAGATACAGAAACAGTAACAGAAATTATAATAGTAATTCTCCGTGTGTTGAGAACTTCCGGTTACACACAGGTTCTCCTTGAAAATCCAGTAGCTTGCATGGGCGGGAGTAGACTTCTATGGCTGTCTCTAGTTGAATAGCAGAGCAAAGACTATAGCGCCACCTCCACCTACAATGCACCCTAGGTGGGATTTCTCCAGGTGCTTTGTCTTAGAAAAATTAAGAGGAGAATATTCTAATTAATCCATTCCATAATATTGACTAGGCATCAGGGGCTGAGGACACAGAGATATCCTCAGGCAAGTCAAGCCCCATAGGGTAGGAGGGCCCTGCCCTAAGTTGGTGTTCAGGAGTCACAATTCAGTGTGAAAAGGTTAAGTGGAGGGAAGAAGAGATTGACTGTCTTTCTTGGCCCAGGGAAGTGAGGGACGGCTTCCCCAGGAAGGTGAGCTTCAGTTAAGGGTCTTCTGTCCCATGATATGGATGTATCATTACACTCTAGGACTACCTTAAAGTATTAAGAACACCCAAAAACAGATGCTCCAGATTTTCTAGCACAAGACCCTACTGCCCTACATTTGTATTTTTTATTTTAATGTGTTTATGGCTGTACCTATTTATTGCCTAGCCATCACCGGGAGGTGCACCATCGCAGGGCAGAAATGTCCTGTCTGTGTTTTGCTCCTCACAGCCTTCCCTGTGCCATGGCCTAGTTTGCCAGACAGATTAATACCCATAAGAGCTTACATTCACTGTGGGACCATCTTTGCAGGAAGTGATTTAGATCTCCCAGCAACTGGATGAGGCAGGTCAGATTGATATCCTCATCTCAACCAAACCAAGGCAAAGTAAGGTTAAGTAGCAACCCCTAGGAAGCAAAACTGGGTGTAGATGGTTAACAAATACTTAGGTGAATGAATGAATGAATGAATGAATGAATGAATGAATGAGTGCTTCATGTACATTATCCAATTCAGAAATGGTCCTTGACTCTGGAAAGCTTTATAAGTACAGAAAGAAAATCTATGTGCAAATATGTTGTGTCCGGGAAGCTCTTAGGGTTTGTCTGGAGGTAGCTCAGTTTATTCTCCATGTTTCTTCAGCCTGGAAGTACAGAAGATGCAGAAAAGCTCCAATGTGGAAGGCTTCTGAACTGCTTCCCCGCCCCTCATATCTTTCCCTGTCCAGGTTAGACAGTCTCTCCTTAATAGAAACACACTCCGCTGGATTAAAACCATCTCTTCCAGAATATGCTTTTAAAATATAAATAAGAAGTTCTCCTTGAAGATCCATTACCACCCAGAACACCCTCCCACAGAACCAGAGCCTTAGCCTGATCACTTGAGGGGACAAACGAGATCCCATTCAGGTTAGCCTCAGAGACAGGTATGAAGAATCAATGGCTCCTGGTGGCAGAGCTTCACCTCTAGTGGCCCCACCTTTACACACAGGTGCACACTTACTGAATACACCCAACCCCAGCGTGGGCCGATCCTGGACCACGGGGTCACTGCCATGGAAGACACCCCCGGGGCCAGGCACCATGTGAGAGCAGCTGAGCCCTGTGTTGGGGCAAAGAGGAGGCTCAGGAGGGGGCCCCTCACAGCAGTTATGGGAGAGAAACAAGGACCAGTTTCTCAGCATTTGCAGGCTGGGGTCTTGCAAGTGGGCCTGTAAATACTTGCCTGATATTTTCAGATTGGGATTTGGGGGCAAGAGAAGGTGGACTACTGGGCTTTATAAATCCTGAAGGCAAAAATGGGTCAAATCATTTCTAATGTATACAACAGCACTTTAAAGAAGAGTGAAGAAAACTTAGAAACACCACACACTTATCACGCAGGAAAATGAGTTCATTTCACCAACTGCCTTCTACGACTGCATCAGCGCTTCACATTTCCTTGAACTTTGGTGTTAATATGTGTAGAGCTACCTACTGGCCATTATTTTCAGGACCACTTTGCAATTTGATCAAGACAGGAATGAAATTTTTCTAGAGATATCTGCCCCCTATTCTTAAGATGTACCGGTTATCAAAGAAAAAGAAGGCACTATATTGGCAAAGGGTAATTCATTACAACTCAGACTAGGTGGCCAATGGACAAAAAGGGCCATAACATTCCTCCAGCGCTAGGATGTGCCAGGGTGGCAACAAGCTTCAATGGGGCAGAACAAAAATAGGAGAGGCCAGAAATCTACTTTCAGTGGACACTCCAGGAAGGAGGGCAGACATTTGTTGCCCCTCAAGAAGAAATGAATATTCTAGAACGTTACAGACGTACTCACTATATACTTTTTTTAAATGATTCTACTTCACAGGAAGTCTGGATGCTCAGGACTCAAAGACTGGCCCTTTAAATACCCAGAATGCACCAACAAATCATTTTAGCTTTCTTTTTCTTACAATATTAAAAGAGTCTCTTACAGATTCTCATTCAAATGGAGAAACTGAGGGCTCGAGCCATCCACTCTCCATGTCGGCCAGAGGAAGAAAGTTTAGCAAAGCCAAGCAGAGGCAGGGAAGGAGAGAAGAACCGTCTTGACATAACAAGCTTATTCATTCACAAGAAATAAGATTAATGCTGTGCAAATACATGGAAACATAAAACTCTCACACAGATCAGGTTCTAGGTGTATGGAAGGGAAGAGTGCTTAGGGATGAGAAATCATCATAGGTCAAGAAGTGGTTGACTTCAAGAGAGAGTGGTTCTGGGAACACAGCTCTGTGGCACCACCCTACCTGTATGTGTGCCCTCCCCCAACGTGGATCACAGCTGAGCATCGGCCCCACTTATATCCACTCAAGGGAACCAACAGTCAACAGATAGGGAAGAAAGGCCCTGGAACTCTGTAGACATAAGGCACTTAATTTTGCAAAGAATGGCATTAGAACACTGGCCCTCGTTTAAGGAAGGAATGACATGTGGAGCATGGGAAAGGTAGGCACATTTCTACCATACACCCAACCCCCCAGAAGCCTACGGCATGCATAAATGTCATCCCAAAGACTGAAGCTGGGAGGCCTCATTCCTCTCAATATAATACAAGGGAAATGGGCAGCTAGACTAGATCATCAGGCCACACAGTTCAACCTGCCATCTAAATCCTGGAGTAAAGAACTGGCCCAACTTTCTTGGAAACCAATACGTATATGTTTTTGCTTAGAGAGATAAGGTATCCAGGAGAGGGAAGTACCACCTACTTTATGGATATGGGTGAGCTCAGCATTACCTTCTCCATGGGCTTGAAGGAGGTATGCACAAGCAGAGGCTGATAAGCAGGAAGACACCCAACAGGCTGTCCCACCACCACCTGTCATCCCACCCCAGGGTGTGTACAAGACCTGAGCTGAGGGACCTACTAATAGCGAGGGGCTTTCTTGTCCCAAGCTAGGGTCTTCTGACACCCTCAGGTCCTGGTGCAGTGGCCAGCTGTGCAGAGTTATACCCCAGAACGTAACTAGGAACATACCTTGAATGTGACCATCATGCTGCTGACACAAAGAGAACAAAGAGCCAGATCATATCAGCTTCCACAGGGTGGCTCCAAATGAAGGGAAATCTAAGGAAGGTGTATTCAACCCTCTTGAAAATGGTGATATCCAGTGAGTATTGTACAACCAAACAAACCAGAGAAGTACCTAACAGTAGTCTTGTTTTCATCAAGATTATCATGTGGTTCAAATATAAAATTGAAATTGACCATTGGAAAAAAAAAAGAAAGAAATTGACCATTGAAGACAATCTCTGGAGCAGGCTAGTGTCTGATTTGATTGGGTTCTTTAAACCTGCTGTCATTTCAAACTGTGCTATGAACAAACAAACAAACAAACAAACGACTGTGCTATGGTCTTACTGCCTGCCAACCACCCGCTGGGGGAGCTGCTCCTGCAGTAGACATACAGGGGTGAAGACAGGAAAAACTGTGAGCTAATCCTGTACATGAAGGGGATTTCTTAGAAAAGAATCAGCGAGAGGAAAACCAAAGATGTCAATGGAATCAATTTTGCTCTATGCAGATTCTATTCAAAACAAGATTTCAGTGACACCGAGGTGGCTAAAGCCCACAACACTTGCAGCCCCAAAGCCAATCCTGTGCCTCTCCAGACCCACAGCTAATTTACCTGCTTTCTCCAGGAGCTTGCACATCATCCACGCAGTCACCGAAGTCAGCTCGCTGGGTTTGGCTATCACGGTATTGCCAGCGGCGATGGCTGGTGCCACCTTCCAGGTCAGCAAGTAGAGTGGCAGGTTCCAGGGGCTGATCAGACCAGCTACAAGGGCAGGACAGAAACACTGCCACCAGTGGCATGCCTCCCAAACCTGACTGGCCAAAACTGGGTTTATTAATGTGGAATTCCTTCACCCTGCATAAAACTTAGGCTTACTCTTCTAAAGCCCCAAACTTGGGCAGCCCAGGGGGCTCAGCAGTTTAGTGCCGCCTTCGACCTAGGGCATGGTCCTGGAGACCTGGGATCGAGTCCTGCGTCGGGTCCCTGCATGGGGCCTGCTTCTCTCTCTGCCTCTCTCTCTCTCTCTCTCTCTCTCTCTCTCTCTCTCTCTGTGTGTGTGTGTGTGTGTGTCTGTCATGAATAAATAAATAAGATCTTAAAAAATAATAATAAAGCCCCAAACTTTGCTTACTTGTAGCCAACTGCAGGGAAATAACTCCAAAACGTATTGCAAGCAACTGTGCCTTTTAACACTATAAATCAATAGTTTACTCTGAGTTCTGAAATTTCTAGGCTTTTACCTTCTTTTTAAACTTCTCTCTCCTTCATCATCAAACTGTCTAGCTACTATTTCTTGTAAGTTCTTTTAAAAATCACTGTTTCTAATCCATTGTGGATTAAAACATAAAATCTCAAGTTTTTTAGAATTATTGGTAAAATAAGAGCAAATGGGTTCTGAGTCTGCCCTGTGGGGACCGTCCTGTTAGTAAAGCCAGTGAATTTTGATGTATGGACTACAAAATCCATTTTGGTTAGCCAGAGGATTTTTTTTTTTTAAAGATTGTATGTATTTATTTGAGAGAGAGACAGAGAGAATATGAGTAGGGGACAGAGAAAGAGGGAGAAACAGACTCCCTGCTGAGCAAGCAGCCCAGTGCAGGGCTCAGTCCCTGGACCCTGAGATCATGACCTGAGTGAAAGGCAGACACCTAACTGACTGAGCCACCCAGGTGTCCCTAGCCAGAGGGACTTTTTAATAAAGAATTCTCTCTAGGTTCTCACTTGTATCATGACCAGATAGGGTCGCTAAATAAGTAACAGAAACAGCATCTGGAGCTTGTCTCCATGCAATATTCCGAAACCATCCAGGTTTCCAACCATAACACACACACACACACACACACACACACAAAATCTACCTTATGAATAGGTAACTGGATTCATCTTATTATATACTCTTCCCTTAAACCTATGCTGTGAAAGTAAACATTTATTTTATATGATTGCATTTCTCACTAGAAAATCTTTTCTTTAGAGGATAAGAGGATATTTTTCAGCATTGCATATGACCATAGTTCTCAGAAGGAGGTCTGAGCTTTTCCTAATTCCTTCAAAATATTGTTTCCAAAGGATTCAAACGACCAAAGTGGTAATATGACCCGTTTTCTTTCCTTTTCATTTATTCTCTTCTATCCTGTCCTAAAACGTAACCAAGGAACATGGGTGTTTGGTGGTTGGAGGAACAGTGACATCTCGTGGTGTCTGGGTCATTGCTCCCGCCTCCAGAAGAAGCGGCAGGGAGCGAGTTCAGTCAAGACCAATCGACTGCTCTATTCAATCCACATCAAGATACATCAAGAATCTGACATCAGACTGTTCTCCCGGGCTTTCAGATAAGACTCCCGAAGAATACGAAGGAAGGTCAAGAAGCCGGCCCTGCGCATCCCCCAAAGCCGAGCTCAACTACCAGCCGCCGAGGTCCGCGGCGAGTTCACTTTCAGCCCGGGGGGGGGGGGGGGGGGGGGGGGCGTCCGCCGTCGGGCTCGGCGGGGCGGGCGCAGCGCCCCCGCGCGGCGGCCCGGGCCCGGCACCCACCGATGCCCACGGGCGCCCGCACGGTGTAGTGCACACAGCCCGCGGGGTCCGCCTGCGTGCACGCCGACGTGTGGTGCAGGACCGACGACGCGAAGAACCGGAAGTTCTGCACCGCCCGGGGGATGTCCACGCCTCTCGCCAGCGCGACGGTTTTCCCTGCAACGAGCCGGGGCGGGAGCCTGGTGAGCGCGCCCGCAGCGGCCGCGGCGGCCGGCAGTCGGCGACCACGCGGGCGGGCGGCGGAGCGCGCGTTCGTGGAACTGGGCGACACGCGCGCAGACGGCTACAAGACGGGGTGGGGGCGTTCAGATCGGGTGAGGCCATCTCTGCTTCGTAGACTGGACGATTGGCGCCACCGTGAATCGGCCAGACGCCAGCCCCGCTGCTCACAGCCGCTCGTGCGACCCCGATCGCCGAGCTTCGCGCACGCTCGGAGGCGCTGCCGCGACCGGGGCTGGGACAGCGACACCGCGCGGCCAGACCCGCGGCGCGCGCCGAATGTGCCCCCGCGCAGCGTGGAGCCCCTGAGGGCACCCTCGCTCCCCGCGTGCCCCATCCGAGTCCTGGCTCCTGGAATGAGCACAAAGAGAAACATGGCTTTCTGGACTGTTCCTTCGCTGCCTTTGGTGACCTAGGGCCCTCCCTGAGGCCAGCAGCACCAGCAGGAAACACCTTCTTCCTAAGGGCTTGGACTCAGGCTGCTTCCCGACTTTAAGCTGATTTACGACATCCATGTGATCCTAAAAGATCTCCGGTTTTCCTAACAGACATTACTGCGAGGACTTGTGGACATTTACCCCCTCACCCAGGCCTTTGGGAAGGAGTTAAGAATTGGGAAGTTGTGGGCTCCTGGGCGGATAAGTTGGTTAAGTATCTGCTTTCAGCTCGGGTCACGATCCTGGGGTCCTGGGGTGGAGCCCTGCCTCGGGCTTCCTGCCTCTGCTGCCCCCCCCCCCCCCCCCGCCTGTGTTCTCTCTCTCTTTCTCCCTCCCTCCCTCCCTCCCTCCCTCCCTCCCTCCCTCCCTCCCTCCCTCTCTCTCTCATATATATATATTTAGAAGTGGTGTTGGGAGTGCAATACTGACAAATTGGATTCTTTCTAAATAACCCGACTCTAACTGTTCTTCAGTTACTTTCGCTTTGAAATGGTCTACCTAGAATTGGTGGGGAATTGCATGCTCATCTCCCTTCTTCCTCTCTCCCCATATCCACGCCCTTTGCCAAAAGCCTTTGCAGTGCCTTCCACCAAATGGACAAAGCGTATTTATTGCCTTGGCCCCGGGAACTTGGGCTCAGCCATGCCTGCTCAGGCCATCAGAATGGGACAGAAGTGAGCCAATTGCAAGCCTCCTGGGTGTTTTTTCTGTCCACCTCCACCTCTTCCACGAGGGGCACAGGTGTGGGCTAGCCTGATGGGCCCAGGAGGGCCACTGTGGAAGTGCCCTGAGTCCCCAGCCATTGTGGTTAAGAGGCACCAGGTCACCCGACAACTGGAATGAGGGTATGAATCGCCAGCATCCGAGTAATCATACTGCACTTTCCATAAAGCACAGCCCTCACCTTGGTCTCTGGACTCCGCCTGGGCCAGCTCCTCCAGGGACTGCTCCAACAGGTCGGCCAGCCGGTACAGCACCTTCGAGCGCTCCTGGGGGCTCCGGGCAGACCAGCCAGGAAAGGCTGCCCGGGCAGCCTCCACCGCCGCTTCAATCTTTGAGGTTGCAAAAAGGAGAGGGTCGCCTTTAGACTATTGCTCCTGAGGTTGGACGAATCCAGAATCCACAGGTCCACACACACCTAATTTTTTTCTGCCACATTTCAAATATTCAATGCTTCCTAGCGCTGAGTTACCTGCAAAGTGGTATTTCCGTGATGATGCGGCAATCAGAACGAGGCTACTTGAATTCTAATAGATGCATGTTTTCAATCATGTCAAAATATAGAATTTTTTTTGGAATATCATATGAAAGAGAAAACTTCATCTAGGTGCGTGGAATTTCTAAGTCTTTTATCCAGCTACAACCTATCTGACAAAATCTAAAATTTCATTTGAAATCATATCCTCAGATCGTCATTTCCACTTGCAATGACTAATCATAATAGTCATTAACCTTTATAAATAAAAGAGTATGCTAAACATACAAATTATTTCAAGTAACCTGTTTTAAAATTCTGTACCATGACTATGGCTATGCCTATTTTGCAGATGAGGAAATCAAGGCACAGAGAACTGAAGTAATTTGGCAGAGGTCACACAGCTAACAAGTGGCAGCGTCAGGATTCAGACCCAGATCTCTGTGGCTCCCAAGGCCAGAGCTGGCTTGCTGTGGCATAGCCATGGTCCCTGCGCCCTGCCTGGCTCAGTCCAGTGAAAGATGCCTCTGTGGGAAGAGAGGGCAACTGTGTTTGGACAGATTGGAAACCTGGTTTTAGAGCAAATCCAAAAGGAAACAATATATGGAAAGGTTCGAGCAAGGCCAATTCTTTCAAGGCAAGATAAGTCTCTGGCGAAGTCTAAGGAACATCTTTACGAGAGATGGCAAATCCATAGCCTGTGTCTCAACCCTTTTGCCTCTCACATGCAGAACAAGACTTTATAATCACTCACGGCTTTCTCCCACCCCTGGGCCCAGGTCCAGCCTCACAGCCCTTTTCCACAGGCTTCTGGACCCTGAGCAGCTTTCTCGAATCACGTGATCTGACAATTCAGCCGTCCTCTCCCACAAAATCTGATCGACACTCCTCCTTTGTTTTCTTTGTAAACAGAATCACTTCCAGCTGAGCTGAATAAAGGATAAAATGATTCTCATCTTAATTATTAACTTCTGGAAAAGTGGTATTTTTGGTTCCAAAGATGGGTGTCTCTACTGCAGACTTGCAGACAGGATGAAGGAATAACATGGGCTGTGGTGCTCTTCCACCAGGAACTGCAGCCTCCTCGAGGCCTGCTGGCAGCCAACAAGAGCAGGGCTCTTTCCTACCAGGGTCGGTGTAAAATCTAATCTTCCTGATGTTGTCCATGTAAAATCTGAGCTTTTTGCTATACAGAAAAATCAAGTCTAGTCATATTTTGGAAGTTGCCCTATGTCTGTGTAATACAGAATACATGTTAATGTAACATGAGCAAAAGCTAATACCTAGAAAGCATTTACTAAATACTAAACACAAAGGGCTTTACATATATCACTCTGTTTAAGCCTCAGAATAACACTATAAGGTAGGTATTATTGTTATCCACATTTTACAGGTAAGGAGACTGAGGTGGAAGGAAATTCAGCTCTAAAGTCAAGACCATAGGTACTAAGTGGTGCAGTTTGTCTTTGAAGCCAGGCAGTCTGACTCTGGCCTGTGCTTATGACTGCGAAGCTACGATATAAATGCCACCACGAACGTGTGTGTGTCCATGTGTGTGTGTGTGTGTGCGCGCACGCGGGGTGTGTGTGGTGTGTGTGGCCACTGATATAAGCATCCGAGATGAGAATGTTAGCTCACTGTCGTCTGTGGAATAAGGATGATGATGGAGTTTTATTTGCAGGTTGTTACGATTCATATTAGAGGTGATCTGTGTTAGAAGGCTTAGTAATGTGGAGCACAGGGAAAAACCTGTTAGCAGCACCAGCAGCACTTTTTTTGAGAGACTTTCTGAAGAATTGGGCACATCGTTTGTATGTGGATGATATTTTTCAAGCCAGAAAAAAGTGGGACTTAGGGGATCATCAGAGAGGATATTTGCAAGTTGAATTGCTGGGAAATCCAAAATATTTATTCCTCTGCTAGCAGATGCATCCATCATTCTATCTTCTGAAAAGCCATGAACCATTAGCCGTAGAAAATATTTCAGGTGCATTCATCATATTTGTCATTTTTAACTTCAGTTTGTAAAACACTCTGAGACCAGGAGGGCTATTAAACAGAAAGATGGATTTCCCACATCCCTCCCCGACATTCGAAACAAAACTGAGTTACAGTGTAACCAACAGATTAGCCAATGTTTGCTTTTACCCACAAGTCTAAAGGTTTTTTTTTTTTAATGCAAGACAGGCTTAAATTATTAACAAAAGAGAAATAATAGCTTAGTATATATGAAGGCTTATTTATATATGAATATTTGTATATGAAGGCTACAATTATCTTTTAAATAATCTTGCTCTGTGTGCCTTAAAAAATAATATGTGGGGGTGACTGGGTGACACATTTACACTGTCAGTGCAATCATTGATAACTAATCACATATATCACCAACATTTTATAAAATTCTCAGATAAAATTAATTCCACATCACTTAAACAATTTTAATGTTTGTGCCATTAAGCACTTTGATTAAGAAAAAGGATGGGATGGTGTTAAGTTTAAAAGCAAATATATATGGGAATTTGATTTTGTATTTCATCATTCAAATGATCACTTTTACTTTACTAGATATTTTAAAGACATAAGGAATTATTAGAGGATAATCTAAAATAAACCCCTGGGTTTTTCACTTTTGCTTGTTTTAGTGAAGTAACAAGTTGTTGTTGTTGTTGTTTTAAAGAAATCCATGAATATAGTGTCAACGTTAGGTAACACTTGATAACGAAAAGAAAGCAGAAACACTGACCAGTCTTAACAAATAATACTTTTTACTAGACCCCCTAATAAGGAATGTCTGAGAAATGCATGGTGTGTCAGGCTGCCTAAATTAAATCACTTGCTTCTGCTCACAGCCATCTGGGTTTTGCCCCAGGTGTAAATATCAAAGTTCATGTGTGGCCACTTTGCTTTCACATCAGCACCTATTTTGCTAACAACAACAAAAATACAAAGAGGATTTTCACTTTTATGAAAAAAGCCATTACCACTCTTACGTACTTCTTTCCCAAAAGCAAGGTGGCATAACAGGAACTTTCTGAAAATGGAGGATACTCTTCACTTTATGCAAACACTCCCCCTTTGGATAATGAGGGGAAACCTGCATCCTAAAAGTCCCATTACAAAGCAAACCTTCCTAGAACTCAGATCTTCCTTCTGCTAGTGTTTAACAATTCTACACCTTTTCCCAACTCCCTTGCTCCCAGACAAGTAAGAGACGCGTAATTCATCAACACATGAAATACATTTCAGTCTTCCCTAAGTGGATATACTCACCTCTCTCTCTCTCTCTCTCTCTCTCTCTCTCTCTCCTCCCCCCTCTATTTTGAAAAGATTTATTTCATTGTGAGAAAGAGAGGGAGTGGGGGAGAAAGAGGCTTTGAGCATATTCGGCACTGAGCACAGCCCGCTGCGGGGCTCGAGCCATGACCCCGAGATCACACAGGACCTGAGCCGAAACCAAGGGGTGCTCAGCCGACTGCACCACCCAGGCGCTCCACTCACCTCTTCTTTTCCACTGTTTGGCACTCGGCAGTACACTTCTCCCGTAGACGGATCATAAGAATCAATGTATGAGTTACAAGGTACAAACTTCCCATTAATGAAGTTCTCCAGTGTCATAAGTGCATTTGTTCCCGCCATGGCGGAGGCCACTCCTGTCTTTCTCCTTGGCAGTTCTTCTGTTAGGTTCCCCCTGAACCCTTCTCCACCCTGAGTTAGCCCAACCTCACCTCCAGCCCCAACGTCCTCATTTGCCAGTCAGTGAAAGTGGGAGGTGGCCTGACACTCAGGAGTGCTCCAGTCTCCAAACGGTGAGGGAAGAGGATTCTGGAACATTTCACAGACTTCCAGTACAGGATCAGAAAGGGATAGTACTATGGTAAATTAATTCAGCTTATGTGTCTGTGGCCCTTTGAAATGTCAGAAGGCATCTGAGTTATCTCCTTTTGTTAGGTTCACACTATAAACTGTGTATTGCTCAAACAGACCCTGAAGCAAGTCCTTGACATGGGTTTACTCATTTATTCCTACACAACAATCCTATATAAAGTAAATGTCATTAAATCCTCTGTATTGTAGGAGAAACTGAGCCTCCAAGAAGTTAATTTGTCCAAAGTTGCAGTTAGTAAGGGATGAACATTAATCCGTTTATCTCCAAATCACGTGTTTTCCTCAACACATCACTGCCCTGACCCCACAGAGGGGATGAAGACTTACTCCCTCTTTCCATCTGTTGCCTCTTTCTCCTTATCGTGGCTGCCTTCTCTGTGAGCAGTCCTCCCTCCGGAAACCAGCAGCTCATCTCTCCCAGCTATGCCACAGCAGTAAGGGTACAAGCCACATTTATGCTTGCATACAAGTAATACACAGGGATTCATATCCATGATGCATGCGGGAATTTCTATAAACTAGAAAGGGAAATGAACAATCCAATTAAAAAAAATAAGCAAAGGCTATAAAAAAGCAATTCATAGCAAAAGGGATGCAGTTGGCTAATGAAAGTATGAAAGGTACTCTGCCTCACTGTTAATCAAGGGAGTGTGAAATACAAAGAGGTGCCCCGGTTCCCCAGCCAGACTAGAAGACACTTTAAAAGGCCTGTAATGCCTGCCCTGTGCGAGGATGCGGAAAAGCACGGACTCTCCTCCTCCACAGACACTGGTGAGGGCAATCTGGCAGTGTCAGCGTTTTAAGTGTGCCCACCTCGAGGCTAGTAATTCCCTTTCCCCAAATCTCTCCCATAGAATTTCTTGCTCAGGTACAAGTAGGTAAGGAACAGGGCATCGTTTTTATGGTAATTTCAAAATAGAAAATAAAAATGCCAACCAACTGGCAATGATTATAATGAGTTGTGTCACCCAGAACAAGGAATGTTATTTAGCCACTGAAAGGATGTACTGTTAAGTAAAAAAACAAAGCTAGTGTATAATATATGCAATAGGATCTCCTTGGATGCCTGCTTGAGGGGGATGTGCAGGGGGTGAGGGTTTCTTCCTCTTTTTGCTCCATATAGTTTTAGATTTCTTGAATATGTATGATGAACCTATATCAATATGCAATTTTGTAGTTAAAATTTAGTCAAATGTGAGATACCAATATTTTAAATTCATTGGTCATTTGGCATATTTGCAGGCTACACATGTCCTCAGGCCCTCTCTGCTCCTGCCTTAATTGGTCTTTCTCTAAGTAATCGCCAAAATTCTTGCTGATTACGGTTGCAAAGCAAGAGGCTCTCCATTCCCTGTGCAAACTAAACTTGAGGCCTTTCTGCAAATCTAAAACTGCCCTATGATGGTCTGCTGAACAAAGGACCAGCCCCCCTGGTCTTTTCTCCTTTGCAGCTCAAAGGCTCTGCAGAAACTTTGGAATTTTAACTCATTTTATTTAAATTAATTAATTTAATCCGCTAAATTCTTGAGACTACTTCTCCCTACCCAGTAAGAAGCTGGGAACAAGTTTAAAGACGAATTTTTTTTTTCTCAGCCTAAAACTCTTAACATTTCCTTTTCTTTTTCCTTTATCTGTGTTAATGATTTTGGGTCATTTTGATGTGTGTCTGTTGGATACCTGGTTACACATAAATAGGAATATATATACATGGACAAATACTACATACAGCCAGGGGCTGTTCCAGAACACAGAAACTATGTAGGCGTTTCCAAATGTAATAGGAGGAAACGGTTACACTGTGTTAGAGGGCTGAGAGAGGAGCCAGTCCTGTTGAGGTACCCGGACAATAGTAACATGTAGTACCATGGAAGAGAGGCCACCACGGCTGAGACTGGGGACAGGAGGGAGAGGCGGGTAGCAGGGGATGCGGCTGACCTGCAGTGTGGCTGCAGCTGGCAGAGCCGTGGGCCGGGAAGGCTGCGGTGGTAGCTGTTGGCCCTGGCTGCAGACATGCTGACAGGGACTGGAGACAGAAGGTAGCATCTTCTCCCTCCCCTTCCTCCCAGGCCTAGTCAGCGAAAGCCAGCTGGCAAGAGCCAAGAACCGTAAGCAACATGGTTTGCAGACACCAGCACTGGCCCCACACAACGAAGTAGCAAGGAGCCTAGGGCAGAGACACTAGGGGCAGGTGTGGGGGGTTACCCAGGCCAGATGGACACACTTTTCCTAGCCTGTGTCTCTGATTCTCCCACTCTCAGCTTCTAGTGTCTTCTTTGCTCATTTTTTTTAAAGATTTTACTCATTTGAGAGAGAGAGAGAGAGAGCACGCGTGAGCATGAGTGGTGGGGAGAGGCAGAGAGAGGAGGAGAAGCAGCCCCCCCACTGAGCAGGGAGCCTGACACAGGGCTCAGTCCCAGGACTCTGGGATCATCACCGCAGCCGAAGGGAGATGCTTAACTGACTGAGCCACCCAGGTGCCCCTTCTTTGCTCCTTCTGAACCTTCTAGAAGCCCACCCAAGCACTTCCTACTTGAAAATATGCATCACCCTCCCATTCCCTCACCCATTCAACTGAAATTTCTCTCACCCGAGCTATTGAGAAAAAAACAAAAAACAAAAAACAAAAAAGCAACAACAACAACAAAAAACCTGATTATGTGCCAGAAGCAACGGAGACTAACGTGGATCGATTAATCAGATTTTTTTTCTTTTTGTGTGGTTCATAATAATCCCAAAGAGGCCAACTAGAGGACTACCTAAGGGAGAGCTTTATAAAGAAAGGGACTTTCCAAGGACACCGCAGGGATGGAATTTTCTGCCACATAATAGCAGAATAATGTGCAAAACTGGACTCAGTACTTCTAAAAAGTGCTTAGTGCTTCTCAGAACTTCCCCACACAGAAAGAGGCCCAGCCTCTAGCAGACATGGGCACATGGGTACTACTCACAGTTGTGTCTTTGCACCACTTGCTGCCCAACTTGACCTGGTGCATTTGGCGTGATGCAATGGCCCTTCGCTGCCTTCTCCCTCCGTCCTACCAGCCCCTTTCTGCTCAGACTATAACCATTGATCCCTGCGTGCAGGTCAACCACATACCTAACTCTGGAACCAGAGCTTCCTGAGGACACGGCATCCGGCCTCACTTCAACCCAAGCCCTAACCTGCCTTCATGCCCTTCCCTCAAAAAGTGGGACCAGTCATCTCTTGCCAGGCTTCCCTTAAGACTTAAAATCCTATATCCAGGTCTAGGAATAGATCCCACTCCCTTGCAGTTCCACCTGCATCACTGTGCCCCTGGATGTGACCTGCTCCTGAATCCCCTGGACTGGTCCCCCTGCTCTTGAGTGTGTGTTCTGCTGAGCGCTGAGCCATTCAGATCATGCCCCTGGAGGAGCATTCAAGTGTATTCCCATTAGCAGAGACCAGATCTGCCCCCGCTGCAGCCCAGCGGATGATCAGTGCCAGGTCCTGCACAGTGAGAATACAAGACTCAAGACTGTCAGCTCAATGGACAAAAATTATAAACATGGTATATGGAGCATATTAATATTCTGAAGAATGGTTCTAGAATATTTCAGATGAGGATAAGGTGTTTTCACCTCATAGACAAAAGTTATTCCTTTTCAAAAGGATAGGTATTCCCTGATTTAGAGAGCTCTCAAGTGTTTTTGGAGCTCTGAATTACCCAGGTAGCTGCAGTACCAGGAAGTACTACAGGGTGTATTTGCCAGAAGCCATAGGGAGACATCTGGATACTTGGTGCTAGGGGAAGTCACCTTCAACCAGGGGAGACAGCGCTAAACAAGCCACAGTGTAATAGGATGTGGGCATCCCAGACGTATGCATTATGCTCAGCAGAAACCCAGGCAGGGGATGGAGAGCTCCCCTTTCAATAAAGGGACCAGAGGATGGAACTTGGAGATGGTAAGGAAGGATGGGGAGGACGTTAACAGGCAGACAGGAAGTAAGTGATGCCAGGCAGAGAAAGTTCCTATTCAGGACTCCACCTCCCTCTGTCTCCACAAGAACCTCGACCAGCAGACAGCTCTTTCCTGAGCCTTCGTTCTTCCCCCTCCTGCTTTTCCAGCCTTTCAGGGAGCTCAGGTCATCTCCACTGTAGCGTCATATCATGAGACCAGTGTGGGGAACACAGGAGCCTGGCAAAGTGAAAGTGTGCACCTTCCCCAGCAGGAGAACACTGCTCTGAGAATCACAAAATTAAGTCCAGGTAATGGGGTACTGAATTGATATTACAAAGGCCACAAGCTATTTGGTGTCCCTATATTTCGGTATAATTTAATTGACCTATTTATGTTGTTTTGCACTATTATTTCTACCTATTTAAGTGATTTCCATGTGAGGAAAAGTTGCTTCTGGGAGCTAAAAGCCAGCCTGGCCCTCGCATGTAGGCCATGGTGTTCTTCTATCAAACATTAACAATTCCTAATTCTCTGACATCACACAAGGTCACTCTGTGATCCCAATGAAGTGAGATCTGCTAATCACACATAGCGAAAATCCAAGTACTGTGCAAATCTTAAGAATGATTAAGCACCCCCCTCTTGTATTTAACTGGAGTGACTGCCACCACCTTACCTTCTTGCATCACCCCTACATCTTAGATAAAATTGGGTTCCCCAGATACAGAATTCTTCCCTCTCTGACAGCACCCAATCCAGAAGAAATCCTTGCTCACTTGAGCTTTCCTCAGAATTACCTACTTACATGTGCCAAATACTTTGACAAGCCCCCCCTTAAACCTGACTTCTGAGAAGGACCTCATCATCCTCTATGGTGTGTGGTCTCTGTTGCTACAGCAAGGATCAATGGAAATAA